TAAAATCGATATAAAAAGTGAATTCCGATACCGCAATTCACTTTTTATATATAAAATCGATATAAAAAAGTGAATTCCGATACCGCAATTCACTTTTTATATATAAAATCAATATAAAAAAGTGAATTCCGATACAGCAATTCACTTTTATATATAAAATTGATATAAAAATGTGAATCCCAATATCGCAATTCACTTTTATTATATAAAATCAATATAAAAAAGTGAATCCCAATATCGCAATTCACTTTTATTATATAAATCAATATAAAAAAGTGAATCCCAATATCACAATTCACTTTTATTATATAAAATCAATATAAAAAGTGAATTATAATACCATAACACACTTATTATATAAAATCATAGTTTCAGGTCAACAGGTCATTCAGGTTATATTGATGTTACAACCTGAACTGATGCTGAATTGCAATTGCTAAACCTGACCTGAAAAATTCAGGTCAACCTGTCAGGTTACCTGAATTTGGTCAACCTGTTCGGAACTCTAGTGTAATGTGACAATATCGCACAATTTTTTTGTATGATGTTTAATCCAAAACTAGTAATATATGGGCTAAAGCTCTGAATGGGTCGGTTTGGTCCGGATTATAGACGGTTCGGATTAGAGCCGAAATCCGTAAGAACCGAACTGAAAAACCGGCGGTTCGGTTCAGTTTAATCCGATTTTTATAAAAATGCGAAAAATCGAATAGCCGACCATCTAGTGATCGTACAAAGTTGAACCATATATCATTGGATTCGTCTCGATGAGACGAATCCAATGAATATAAATTCGTTCGTGTACGACCACTGGATGGCGAATAATATCAAGTTTCGCATTTTTTTAAAAATTTCGAGCATTAAAAATTAGAAATTCTGATACATGAATTTATTCGTCGTCCAATGGTCGTATAAATATGAATTAGGACTCATTAGATTCGTCTCAATGAGACGAGTTGAATGGTGGTAAGAACATGTCTCTAGCACTGATAGAAAGCTTTCTAATTCCAATTATTTATAAATCATTTAGCGTGGGTTAACGTGTGATCTATCGATGCGAGAGACATGATCTTACCACCATTCGACGCGTCTCATCGAGACGAATCCAATGATATATGGTTCGACTTTGTACGATCACTAGATGGCCGGCTATTCGATTTTTCGCATTTTTATAAAAATCGGATTAAACTGAACCGAACCGCCGGTTTTTCGGTTCTAATACCCGAACCGAACCGAACCGAATTTTGAGCCAGTTTCGGATCGGTTCCCCGGTTTAGCCTGAACTGTTCGGAGCTTTAATATGGGCTTTGCCTATGAAGTGAAAGGGACACTGCATTCGTGTACTAGATAAGGATTTTTACATCCTGAAGAGATACCCTCATGCATTACCTGGATACCCCTTACACATTCACATGATTACACAAACTTTCCATTATAAAATGTAGTCAATCTCTAGAATATATTGTTACTACATAATGAAATAGTACAGAACTTTTTATCCTATTTTCGCAGTTAATAATTATGGGTTTCATGCGGAAATTTTTTATTTGAACAAAGAACACGATGTCAAAAAAATATGAGTAATCACTTCCAAAAAAATGTTTTACCATGCAAAACAAACTCTCCCACACTTTTCATAGCAGATGACGACTTTGAAATGCCCAATATAGATGCTGCTCTTCTCGAAACCCTTCATAATGTACATAACTATGCCGATGCTAAGAACTGAGATGAAATCGTTTCTTTCGTTGAACGTTTTAATAATTCTATTCACCTGATGTTTTGGGCCAGTGCACTTAACTACTCTGACTATCTTGTTATACCCGAGGGGATTTTACAATGTCTTCTATTGAGCCTCTTTGGCGAGCATACTCAGAGAGGTTGGATACTAGGAAATTTTTCTGTAGAAATTTTCGTGGAAAGACAGAGCATAAACAACTCGTTAAACACAATCCTAGTGTGAAGAATCTAGACTTAACAAGTGTCGACCAAGTGGAGAATACTGTGCTTTTAGAACATGATTCGGATGTGATACTACATAGTTCATTCTTGTTTTGTGTCACTGAAAATAGTGAAATTGTGATTAATGGAGAGTGCTGCTCTGTCGATTTGTCGAAATTAGAATATACTGGTTATTCAGAGAAAATTTCTAACTTAACTAATAACAATGTGCAGATTAGTCCCTCGCCTACTATTCGTCTACCAGTACGCAAAATAATAACGAAACATGAAATGATAACGAATGAAAATACTGTATATGAACTATCATCAACATTTAATGCGAATCATGCAGAAAACAACATTTTGAAGAAAGATCATAAGGAATCCAGTACTCACAGTTATCTGAAATATAAACTTCCTCCTAGTATAGTATATGTTAATTCTCCTTTGATTAACAGCCCCTCATCTGTTTTTACTAATGAAAACCAGAGTATGATTTTGTGTATAGAACCTCCCGGTAATCCCTCTAGTTGTGACACTAGTTGTGACACTATAGTAACGTCCCTTCGGGGCAGTTCTCAGACTTGTTCACAAACAGATTCAACAAATAGTTTACTGTTTGAAGATGCTTTATACAACAAAAGTAAAAAAACAGAAGTGGTGCATCAGGAAATTATATAGTGCGAAAAGTTGCGCAAGTTTACACATCATAATATTT